GGCCAAAAAAAAAAAAAAAAAAAGTACAGTAAAGAGTGATCAAATTTTGGATTTTGTTAGCACAGTACCTCTTGTATAAAAAGCCTTATGTTAATAAGTATGCATTGGAAACATCTTGGAAAAAAATATGTAAATTTTTTTTGTATGTATGCAAATTGTGCAATACCACATTTCTAGTAATTGTGCAGTTAATTCTCATATTGTATTTTCAGAAAGTTTTGGAATATTTTTCCTCTCCTGAAATTTGTCACTACTGAAACACAGTAATATATAATTAAATTTATAGGGTTATATTGACATATTAAGATTTTGTTTACATCTAATACAGCTAATTTTACTAGTTTACAGCTAATCAGCACATGGTTAGCTAGCACAGTTCTGAACAGTTTGTAAACGCATAAAAAATAAATGTTATGGAATAACACCCAAAAAAAGTGTGCTTAATTGAAAAAAAAGAAAAAAAAAGAAAAGGTGTTCGGTAGTGACTTTCCTTAATGTTACACAGATTTTCAGACTTTTGAGCACATTTATCTCAAAATGATGAGACCAAGCTATGAGAGAGACACACAGGAATATTCCCTGATCATAAATGTAGGGCTGTAGTTAAAATCAGTCTCAGCCAATGGACTAAAACATGTACATTTCGCTAGTGAAATTTAAAAGGAAAATATAAAATAAATAAAACATTTTAACTTCACTTTAAAAAAAATATTTCAATTAAAAATATATTTTTTAAAACAACAATTGAATAAAATGCAAACAGTTTTTCAGTATAATTTTCATAAGCATAAGTTTAGGGTTCAGGACAGCCACCTCCCAAATAAATGATGATTTAATAAATATTAAGCTTACTGATATTATTGTGTGTTTCAATAGAGAACAGAAGGATCTTGGTAAACATCTAAGATTTGAATATTTAAATGCTTCTTAAATGCGTTGTTGTTTGTGGGACAGCAGTTTGCACCAATTCTGTAGAGTGGCCCACATACAGCACTGTGATAGACTGACCATTAAATTATAAGCTAGTTTTTGCTTTAAAACACACATTGTCCTTCCACTTCCCTGATTCGTTTAACAATAACAACAACAAGTGCAGATCCACGCACAATCGAACGGCTAATATAGTCCACAACCAGTGTTGGGAGGAACGCGTTACCAAAGTAATGCATTACAGTAACAGATTACGTTTTGCTGTAACGCAGTAGTGTAAGGCATTACTAATCAATTTTCAGTAATATTTTACTCGGTACATGTTCAGTAACGCTTTATTTCCTGTTCGTGGTCAGTCAATAGCCGCGTGTGGTGTCCACGTTTGTAAATAAAGACTAAAAGACAGCTTCTGATATATTTGTTTAGTGATTTATTTCATTCATCTTCCTCTCGCTGGTGGAACTTTGTATTGTGTGACGTAGTCCAGTGAAGGCGTGTTTAGGGCAGGTTTTACAGGAGTGCCGCGAGGCTACTGGCCCGACAGTGGAAACGCGGCATTATTTCGGCCTCTGTGGCTGTGCTAGAGGTCCGAGGCTATTAGCCCCGCCCGGCTCACTGTAAGCGGCGTATTTAGGGCGGATTTTACAGGATTTCGGCCTCTGTGCTCGAGGTCCGATGCTATTAGCCCCGCTGTTGGATCGTTTGTGATTCTGGCTGTCATCCTTTCTTGCATTGTCTTGAGCCTTCACTTTGCCAATTATAAGCTATATTGTTAGTAGCCTGGATAGCCCACAGTCATTATGCTACACCATATCGCCCTCTACTGGCTGTAAAATGCTCTGCAGTACATTTAGTCATTTTAGAATATTAAGTTCTACTTCTGTAGTTATTTTGGTGAAAGTAACTCAAAAGTAATACAGGAGTCATGTAACGCATTACAATTCTGAGACAGATTAATAATAGATTAATAGACAACGACAAGTAATCTATAATGTATTACAGTTTGGAAGTAACTTGCACAACACTGTCCACAACCCACTGAAACTTCGATTAGAACTACAAACGCGAATAAAAGTGTTAAAAACTACAAACATGGCGGAAACGCGTGACCGATGGCTCAGCAGAGAGGCGTGATTATTAATCAATCTAATCTGATCTAATCAATCTATTTTGGAGCTCCCACCCCGTTTTGGAGTTCACGCCCCATTTTGGAGATCTCCGGTCTGCAGCTATATCTACTTGGAGTGAAATCAGACGCTCGTTTTCTCAGACGCTAGACAGATAAAGGCTTCCCAAAACAAAGTTACTGGGTTAATCGTTTTCACGTTTCCTTTTATTTTCAAGCACACATTTTAAAACAAGCTAGAAAAAGTAGAATAAATACACATGGTTTTAAAATAAATTACAATCTTTGTTAAGGCTTATGAACACAGCTTATGAAAGGAGCATGTTTTAATTAAGTTGTTATTTTT